CTGTCCTCATCCTTGACCCTCACAACCTACATCTACCCATCAGCCTCCTGCCCTTTCCAGACGTGAATCACGGGCAAGTTTCAAAACAAAGCGTGAAGATAACAGCTCTGACCCCTTTGTTCGCCCATCCAGGAAATGTAAGGGACCCACCCAGTAACTAGCCCTTCCTCTTGGAACCCACTGCACACAATGTGCCTCAGTGGGAAAGAAAGCAATTGTGTCATTTGTGTCAGTGACTGGGCATCTGGCAGTTTTGCCTCTGACTCTGGCCAAGGAAAGCCTCTTCCAGGTGGGTTCCTAGTATCACTCTCCCACCACTGGCTCTCAGACTCACCCATCTGTGATGCTGGCTTGGGACAGCGGGTATCCCACAGTAAAATCCTATTGTCCTGAAAGAAGGGACAGAAAAAGGGCTTCACAATCCAAAGAAGAAGCTGCTGGCCAGAAGCCCTCCACACTAGACTTAGGTCTAAAGGGTCTGAGTGCGGTTTGGATGTGGGAAGGGAAAAAGAGATTATATCTCACCTCACCACATGAAAGAAACACAGAATCCTTGTGGGGAGAGGCAGCAACACAGGTGACCTGCCCAGAGTGAGCTGTAAAGGAGACAGAACAAGAAATAAGACAGAGAAGGTGCAGGCATTACTATCAAGCAGCCCAGACACTATGAAGGGGTAGGAGGGAGGGTGTGAGAAATAGGCCTAGTCTCATGATGCAAATTAACAAATTCTGTGAGATTTTTGGATTAGATGAAACCTAAGAGGAAATGTTGATATCATTATGAAAACTCAAAAGGCTTGGAGAAAAATGAATCACTAAAGACATGGAAGATAAATTAAATGCTGAATAAGAACAGGAGAGGAATTTACAGTAAAGACATCCTAGAATAGCAGTAGCACACATGCCTCCAGGTAGCATACAAAGACTTCTGAGGGAGTTCTGGACACTGAGAGTTTTAAGGGAATTTCTCTAATGTTCTTCTTCCATATTGAACTGAGAAGCTGCCTATAACCTGCCAGTGCTGACCTCTACTCTCACAGTCACCCTTCTCCCATGTGTAGAAGAAATACACACCTCTCACCCACCCCAAACCTTACCATGATGCTCAGGAGTATAAAAACCTAAGGAATAAAACAAAAGGGGCTTTTCCTGAGACAAAGAAAGAGCACTTGTGTAAAATTCTGTGAAGGAGGCTGGCCTTTCTCAGCCACACCACAAACACAAGTGTGGTTCTGTGACTGATCTCTTCTCTTTAATAATGAGAATTTTGAAACATATGACAGGTGGTTGTCATAAGGACATCCATAAGCTTATCTGAATTTAAAAATAAAGTCAGACTTTTTCTGACTGAAAGTTAAGTCCCACTTGGCCAACTGGCTTAACAGTGCATATGGTTTTTGGCAGTTAGGTTATTTGGTAGATGTTTTACATAAACTAAATGAGCTTAATCTGCAAATCCAAAATTTTGACAAAAATATATTATAAAAGTGTACAATAAATGACATGGCCAGATATAACTTTCTTTGTAACTAGTTAAATTTAAATTAGATACTAATTTTAAAATGTGTGAGAGGGTACACTTTTTCAAAATTCTTTTAGGGCTACATGCTAAAATTGTTAAAGGTCTCCGCTAAATGTTAATTACAGGCTGTGGAAACCACCTTCTCCAAAGTGATTTAACCAGACTTTCTGAGATAGTCTGAATGTGGCTCTGCCCTGAGACAGAAGTGTGGGCTCAAACTACCTTCCATAGAATCCATGGAAAGCCAACACGAGGAAAAGGAATGTATTGCTCACTTGAGAAAAGCAAAGCTTTGGGACAAACACCATGGGGGAGTACAAAAGATGAAAAAAAAATATGTGGTTCCTCTGCCCTCAAGGAATTTGGAATCAGTGGGGGGAATAAGAATAAACACAAAGAACTAATTAAAAAGGCTGAAAGGAACAAGTGCTGAAAAAGAGTTATTTAGCATTGACCGGAAAAACACATCGTAAGTCTAGGAAACAAAAGGCAAGTACAGTAGACTTTGAGCACTGACATTTTAACATTATTGTCTAACTATAGTTCAAGTGACCATGAAGCTCCAGGAGATATATGAGTTTATGATTTTGCTTCGCTCATATCTGAATCATGCACTTTGAAGTTAGAACTGGCAGAGAAAGGCACTTAGTCACTGGGGGAACCAGTGATCACCCATATCTACATCTCTTAGCCACACACACATTAACGTTCTATACATTATCTTCCTTAAGATTTGGTATCTTCATGAGGAATGGCTCCCAAAATAAAGTCAACTGCTAGTGCTGCTAATGAAAGTGAGCAGAAAAAGGAACATTAATAGAAAGTGATGGTTCTCACCAAAAAAATGAGATTTTATAGAGGTGAATATGCAAAAGTTCAAGATTCACAAGTATCAGGGTTTATACTTGGAGAATGCCAAAGATCTACTGTGATCGGGTTTAGATAGCATGGTATGCTTGAAGGAGTGACAGGAAAAAGGCTTGAATGCCAGGACATGAACATGAGATTGTAACCTGCAAGCCACAAGAAACCAATGAAAGACTAAAGATTACAGGAAGAACAATGAGATGAGTGCCACCGTCTGTAATAAGATAAAGCCTGAAAGTAAATGGGAGCATAAGAAATGGAACAGAAGGTCACTGACGAAATGGAAAAAGACTCCAAAGAACTTGGGGACCAACTGATAGTGGGAAACAGGAGGAGTGGAAGAGGACTGGGATTTTCAGCCTCAGGTGACCAAGAAGGTGGTGAGGCTGTCAATAAAAAAAAATATATAGGGAAATTATGAAAAGGGCTAGAATCGACATTGGAGCCTGACCGTAGTTTTGGAAGAAATACACTACCAGGCAGGAGAGCAAAGAATTGATATCACTAACATGCAAGCAAAGTTCAAAGAGCCCAAAGGGGAGAATAAAAACAAAACAGCCAAGGCCAGGACTGAAAAGGAAAGAACATGCACTCACCTCGGTATGAGTTCAGAATCATCTGCTGAGCAAGGTCCCAAACTTTGATGCTAAGAAGCAAAAGGAAACAGAGGCTTAATTTGACCTACACTACCTACATAAAAACGTGTGTTCAAATAAGAACGCCCTATGTCTTTGCCTACTGGACTTCTGGTACAGCCTACTTTTACCATGGATTGCAAAAATCTCTAAGAAAACCTTATAGGCATGTCATAATTAGTCACTGGGTTCTTATAATGAGCCCAAAACATAATTTAATGAGGCTAATATGATGCTAAAGACACCCAAAGGAGGCCCAGAAACAGGAGCGATGAGAGGAGGGACCCACCAGAAGTCTTTGCTACCACTGACAGCTTGCATGCCAGAGCTTAGGACACTGACTGTAGACACAATGTCATCGTGCTCATACTTGCAGAACTTGCTGACAATTAGTGTCTCATTCTCATCCAGCTCCCACAATTCAACAGCACCTGTTGGGGGTGGGGAGTAGGGTGAGGGAAACAAGCTTGGATTATGCCAAGACAGAAATCCGCTTCTAGGATTCTAAGCTCTCAGGAGACAAGGAGGAAATCTCCCCAATGATCTGAGCAGCACACAGGCCGTATGGTTAAATATTCCCAGTTATTTGGACACTAAAGTATTTGTTGAACAATTTGAATAAATGTCTTAGAGTCATAAAAATATGTTGAATAACATAAAAATATGTTGTACAGTGACTAAGTATAGAAAATCATCAGATAGCTGCCCTGAATATAGAGTGTTCAAGCTCAATCGCCAGAGAGGCTCAATCTTTAATGTCCCACACTTATCCTTCCATGCAATGCCTGCCAACGTCCATATTCTGATTTCTTTTTTTTTAATGTCAAAGCCCCCATTGCTGAGACTGACATTCAAGGCAAAGAAAGCCGAATAAAAGCATTTAAGAACAAAATGGGAAGAAATGGAAAGAGCACAGATTGGCCTCGGCATCATCTTTAAGATCAAGATTATCCTTGGTTTGGGGTTGGGTGGATACAGAGAAGAAAAATAGTTCCAATTAATTTCTTAATTTTGTTATGGATTATACTACGAATTTCCACCAAACAATTTAGAATCTTGGGGAAGGTATTTCCTACCTACACAGTTACTCTCCTTCGGGACCAACACCCTCAAGCTCCCCCAAGCACTGAGTATGGGATTTTAAAAATTGAGCACAGCCCGACCTATACCCATGGCCTCCATCCCACCTGTAAGGTTGAGGAGAAAGTGACTCACCTGAATCGGAAGCCACTAGGATACCTCTGTCCCCTACCCAAGTGAGGTCAGCCACTCCGGCCTCCGTCTGGACTCCAGCGGAGCAGAAACCTTCGTTGGGGGCGGCACAAGGGTCCTTGAAAAGCCAGAGGGAGCCAGCCCAGCAGCGGCCACTCAGGCTAGAAGCCCCGAGCAGAAGCGCCCCATCTAAGGGAGATACAAGTTGTCAGCGCGTGAGGAGTGGAAGGGCTAATCTCCCTGGTGACCGCCCAGCAGCCAGCTGGCCGGGTTTGGATCGGAGCCCAGGAACGCCGAGCACGGCTGGGGACTGAGCTCAGCGACGCGAGGCAGGGGTGAGGATGGCATGCGGGGTAAGCGGGGGGCTGGGGGAAGGCTGGAAGGTTTAGTCCCGGGAAAGGGCATTCGGGGTGGGGTGAGGGAACTCCCAGACCCAGGACCTAGGCTCACCCGACCGGTACCGCGCAGCCTCCAATTGCCGCTCCATACAAGCTGGTGCATTAGGGGGAAGGTTCCACTCCCGGGCCTCCGGGGGCACTAGCGGGGGCGGGGTTTCCTTCCGCATCTCCACGATTCCGACTCCAACCTAGACCCAAACTGGACGCCCGCCGGAGACTCAGCTCCGCGAGCCACCACGTGGCCCCGTTATAGGCCTCCGCCCCTCTGGCCAGGCTACAGCCTCTCTACATCTCGCGAGAATTGCTTCTACGATTCCATTCCGCTTTCCAGCGAGCAACCTCTTGCCGCGGGCTCTCAGTGCCCTGTGCTTCTTATCGCAAAAAAAAAAAAAAAAAAAAAAGACCGGAAGTTGATGAAAAGGGCACGATGTTCTCTTCTCGCGAGACTTGTGAGCGACCATCTTGTTTCTGCCCCTGACAGAGTCTCCTGTAGCGGTCACTGGGGCGCGAGGACTGTTGTGTGGACGCTATCTGACAATGCTGTCCCGGGTGGTACTTTCTGCCGCCACCGCAGCAGGTGAGAGGTACAGACCCTAGTCCAGGCTAGCAGAGTGATTGCAAACCAGCGCGTCTAGGGTTACTTGGAGCGGGTGGGAGGAAAGGGGATGAAAGGCGCGGCGGGATTTGGGCCTGCGTGGAGAGTTGATTAGTGCCGCTCAGAAGGAGAGTGTGGGGGTCTCGGGGGATAGGAATGGGGGACGCATGGCCTTAGTGATTGGGCTCCGCGGGGACCGAGGAAGGGGCAAACCAGATTTCACGGTGACCTTGCTAACCTGTGCCTTGTGTATTTCTAGCTCCCTCTCTGAAGAACGCAGCCCTCCTCGGTCCAGGGTAAGTGTAAGGGGTGTAATACTCCCTTTTGTCCTTGTTTTATCACCTATTTCACTTCTGGGTAATCTGTTCTTAGCTTTGGGCCGGTAATTACCTTTCTTTAGGTTATTTTGGAACGCTTCAAGTCTCATTCAAACATGTGTGCTCCTGTTACTGCCTGGAACACCGTTGTGTCACTTAATGTGTTCTAACTAAACTAGAAACTGGTTTTGGTGTCCCCTAAGCCCCGCCCCTCTCCCTTGTGACCTTCAGGTAGGCACAGCTGCGGCATCCCTAGTCGGGGTTACTAGATTGCATACCCTAGGACAGGTTTTGTTAAATAAAACAATGAAGCATATTGTTTTTAATCTGCCTCCCAGATTCCAACTTTTACTGTCAGGTCAGAGAAATTATTCGTCGTTTCAGTAGATATTTATCTTGCCACGCACATAACCGAACATAAAAAAATGAGTAAGGTTAAGTACCTGCCTTCGTGGACCTCACGCACAGTCTACCAGAGGAGGCAGCTATAAAGTGGTAGTTTACAGTGAGGATTCCAAAGCTGAAAGAGGGTACACCGGGCTCCTCCACTTACAAGTGGGACCTTAATTTCCCCTTCTGCAAAATAGAATAGTACACTATGGATTGTGAAAATTAAGGGAATTAATTCCTGGGAACCCTAAAAACAGTGCTTGGTACATAGTATGTGCTTAGTAAATATTGGAAGGTGTTACTGATATTTCATAAAACGTCAGTTTTCTTTGGGATTTCTCTTTTTACTTCCAGACTTAGTCCTAAATCTTGAAAAATTTGATAACAATCCTGTAGCTTGAAAAAGTGGCTTTGGTTTATCTGTAATTTTTGTATAAGCAATAAAGTGAGGCTATAATTGTCTGCTTCCAACTTCTCAGAGAAGAAAGATTCCATATAGACAAGTAAATAATTGTAATATAGATAATAAATACATATACAAAATGCAAGGAACATCCTTGATTTCTCTTTCACATTTCATGTCTAATGCATTAGTAAGGCTCTTTCTCCAGATGATATCCAGACTCTGACCACTTCTTCCACTACTACTGCTACTGGAGTGTGAACCACCATCACGTTTCACCTAGGCTATTTCAGTTGTCTCCTAACTAGTCTCCTTGAATCTGTATTCTTGTCCCATTACAGGCCATCCTCACAATAGCCACAGGGATTCTGTCAGTCCCCCCACCCTTCCCCTACAGAGCCCTCTAGAGCTGCCCATCCCACTTGAAATCAAATCCAAACTTACCTTAACACAGAAAGTTCACCATGAGTTGACCCCATCCTACCTCTTGATTTATCTTCTTACATTCTCTTTTAAGCTCATTCTCTAGCCTTACTGGCCTTCTTGCTATTCCTCTGAAAACTGCCAAGCTTATTGTTGCCTCAGGATCTTTGTACTTGCTCTTCTCTCTTTTCCCCAGGTCATTGGCTCAAATGTCATCTGATCTACCAAAAAAGCCTTTCCCTCACTCCACTGCTCCTTAGCCCCTTCCTTCACCTATTTTTCTTCATGGCACTTACAACTGTCTGAAATTGTGTATGGACCTATACACTCACACTTCCCAAACCCCCACTAGAATGTCAGAGGCTGGGACTTTGTCTGCTTATTGTTATACTCCCGGTGCCTAATATAAGCAGAAAGTCAGTAAATGTTTTGTTGAGTGAGTAATTGTCAACCCAAGATTGGAAGGCCTTTATAAAGGATATACTCAAGATGTTCTGAAGGCTGGTTGGTCTTGGCAGTCATTAAGTGAAAGGTATACCAGGCAGAAGGAGCAGCGGTGAGGTTTTTTTTTTTTTGGTTTTTGAAAGCTGTAAGTAGTTCCATATGGCTGGAGAGTAGGAGAATGAAGGAAGATGAGGATATAAAATTTGACAGGTGCTGAATCACGTATGCTGTATTTAGTAGTTTGTTTTCTGTGGGCAGGAGAGAGCCTGTTGAAGAGTTTTAAAGTCAAATTTGCATTTTAAAAACTTTCAAAGCAGCAGGGAGGGGGCTAGGTTCAAGGGGTATTTGAGGAAGAGCCAAGAGAACAGATTTTGGGTTACTTACTTGTTTAGGCAGGAGTAGATGAGGGCTTGAAGTGAGACAGCCAGTTAGGGAGAGGATTTGTGTTCCCCTAAAGCAAGTTCTTTAGTGCTATGATTTAAGTCAGTGGTTCTCAACCTGGGGCAGTTTTGCCCTCCAAGGGACTTTTGGCAATGTCTGGAGACATTTTTGGTTGTCACCACTGGGTAGGAGGGGGGATGCTACTGGCATCTGGTGTACAAAGGCCACAGGGATCCTCCTAATTACTCTAAGTGCACAGAACAGCCTTCCACAGCAAAGAGTTGTCAATAGTTCAAAATGTCAATAGTGCTGAGGTTTAGAAACCCTGATTAAAATGAAAGAATCTTGAGCATGATTCTCAGATTTCAAAAGTTGGTGAGGTAACTCAATACATTGGGAAGCAGAAATAATATTCAAAAGACAGGCAGTGAACAATAATCAATGAAATAGTGTAAACTCTTACATTGCAAGGAAATAAGAGAGAGGGGAGGTGAGGGACAAAAACATACTTAGAATTTGAAGGGGATTTAGCTCGACAGCAGATATGAAAAGGCTAGAGGATTTTATTTCATCAGAATCCTATGTACCAGTATGCTGTAACTGCTACAGATACAATCTTAGGCTACTTTAAAGATAAGAATAGTTCGCAGATCCATGATAATAGTACAGTGGTTCAAGCCCAGTGATGGCAATAGCAAGTTCTCAATATGTATTGATATTTGTAGGATGAATGAATTAGTCAAGCTATATTTCAGTTCAGTATTATGTTCAGTTCTGTATACTTCATTTTTGTAAACAAAACCAGTTTGCTGCTTGTGGACAGTCAGGATTGTGAAGGAACTGAGATGTTTAACCCAGATACATGAGTGTTAACTTACATAGAAGAATAATATTAGAACCAATGGATAGAGGTTTCAAGGATGTATGTAGCAGTTCAATTCAAAGGATGATCATAGTTAGAGCTATCCAACACTGAAAAAGCATGTTTCACTTAGTGGTTATTTAGCACCCCAATACAGAGAATATTCAAAAAGGTCAAAGTTCTTGCCATCAGGGAGCTCACAACACAGTGGACATGTAATAGCTAACCACTTACATAAAACTTTACCATGTGCCAAGCACTATTCTATATACTTTACATTTATTAACTCAGTTAATCCTCACAGCAACTCTCTAAGGTCATATTCTTTGTTCCTACTTTACTTTAGAGAAATCAGAGACTACAAAAGCATACATTGAAATTTGAACCCAGATAGTCTCGCTGCAGAGTCTATGTTCTTACATAATTCATTGCTAGTAATAGACATATAAAGTGCTAGACAGATGACCCGTGAGACTTAACAGAAGGGATTCTAGTATTGGGTAGAAGGTTACATACAGCTTTAAGTAAGTTGTTTCCCCTTATCACACAGCTAATTATGGGACCCTAACCTTCCTGTTCTTGGTCTGTTCTGTTCCCATTAAGACAGTGGGACACAGCCTCAATCCTCACCCCTATTTGTTCTTTTCTACAGTTGTTCATACATTGTGTTCTCTTTAAAAAATAGGCTTTAAATTTGTGTAATTCCTACCTGTAGGGTATTGCAGGCAACAAGGATCTTTCACAGAGGGCAGCCAAGTCTTGCCCCTGTACCACCTCTTCCTGAATATGGAGGAAAAGTTCGTTTTGGGCTGATCCCTGAGGAATTTTTCCAGTTCCTTTATCCTAAAACTGGTGTAACAGGTGAGCATTTGCCCAATGTTTGATAGTATGTTTAGATGGTATGGTTTATGTTAATCTAGCGTTTTAGTGGTCTCTTAACCTCTTCCACATGTACCAGAAAAATCAAGTCAGTTGTTTTTAAAGTAAAGTGTGGAAGTGATTCAATATAAGAATTGATTTGGTTGCTTTGTCTTTGGAATAAATTTGTTTGGGATTTTAACTTGATTTTATAACATTGTCTCCATTTCTTGTTACACCAAATTTATTGACTGCCTGCTGTATGCTAGGCACTGTTCTAGGCATACAGTGGTGAACTAAAGTGCCTGCCATCATGAAACATACATTCTTTTGTAGGATAGACAATAAGGAAATGAGTAACTGGGGAATTCCCTGGCGGTCCAGTGGTTAGGACTCGGTGCTTTCACTGCAGGGGCCCGGCTTCCATCCCTGGTCAAGGAACTAAGATCCTGCAAGCCGCACAGAGCGGCCAAAAAAACCAAAATTGAGTAACTGTATAATACATTTTCAGGTAATGATAGAAAGAGCTATGGATTAAAATAAAGCCAGGTAAGGCAATAGAGACTCTGTGTTGTATGTATAATTACGAAAAAAGAGCTGGACCATATTTATCAGGGTTTTTTTTCCCTTTTAAAAAGGCATAGGGACTTCCCTGGTGCCGCAGTCGTTAAGAATTCGCCTGCCAATGCAGGGGACACAGGTTCAAGCCCTAGTCCGGGAAGATCCCACATGCCACGGAGCAACTAAACCCGTGGGCCACAACTACTGAGCCTGCACTCTGAAGCCTGCATACCTAGAGCCCCTGCTCCGC